ATTGCTTCTAACTGGCCTCAAGGACTGTGGCTGGGGCAAAGTGGGCCAGCCAAGAATGCTTTTTAGCTCTGCTTGCTCCTCTTGAACCCTCTCCCCTCATCCCCAGGACGTTCCTATGTTGTGACAAACAATAGCTTTTAAGCAGGTGTTAGTTTCCCTAACAATATATGACTTCATTCAATCCATGTAACCAGTCAGGTAATGCTTTGGACTACCTGCTGGTAAACTATATTTAAATGGAACTCAAAGCTAGCTCTCTGCTGGTGATTTGCACAACTGTCACTTGTCTCCCAGCCTGCCAGCATTGCGATCAGTAAACGTGGCTTTCTAGATTCCTCAGTACAAAGACTCTTACATCCGGTTTGCTATTGGCTTTTCTGCAACACTGCCAGCTGGAACAACATCCAGGCTTCCTCCTCTCTTGGCTGTATTATGGGCACTGTGCCTGGCTGCTGAGAGCCGAACCTGGGGAACGTTCTAGAACACGGTCCTCTGGGTTGTCTTATTGAAGCCTTCCAAGGAGAGGGAAAAGTGGAGGTCTAAGCAGGTTTGTGCAGGAGGAGTGGTCTCCCTTTTCAACAGCTTGATCTCTCAGAACTAACCCAGTGCTACAAGAAGGAGGGACTTTGGTCATCAGTGTGAAGAAACAATCTACATACATGTTTTCTAGATGCCCTTCAGGCAGAGGATTAATTTCTAGAATATATGAAGAGCTTGAAAAATGTAAGTCACCTAAAATGAAAGACCCAGTCAAGACCAGAGAAGTGAACAAAAATTCATAGAGGAAGGAATCCAACTAGTCAACAGATACATGAGAAAATGTCCACCATCTCTGGCTGTTAGAGAAGTGCAAGCTGAAATGACCCTAAGATTCCATCTTACTCTGGAAAGAATAGAAATCATTAGGAAATAAAACAATAACAAAGGTGTGATTGTGGTGAAAAGGTACCGTGCATTGCTGGTGAAAATGTAAACAAACTAGTACAACCATTATGGAAATCAGTAAGGAGATTTGTCAATGAGCCAAAACTAGAAATTCTATGTGACCCAACTATCAACCTGCTAGTTATCATCTCTAAAGAGGACAAGGTATCATACTACAGTGATACACGCATATCAGTGTTTATAGCAGCACAGTTTGCAATAGCTAAATCCTGGAAGCAGCCTAATACTCATCGATAGACTAAATGGATCTATGAGCAATGGAATACTACTGTGCTATAAAGAATGACACATTTTACTCATTTGTAGGAAAACAGGTGCACTGGGAAAATATAAGGTTGAGTGAAAGAAATCAGACACACAAACTCAAATACAGTGTGGTGTCTCTTATCTGAGTGAAGCTTAGCACAGAAAAAGAAAGTGATACAGGATGGATGGAGGGGTCAAGAGGATGTGTCCTTGCAGTAGGGAAGTGGTCCAAGGGCACTAAGATGGAGTGATGAAGAGGGGAAAGCGGAATGAGAGAATAAAGGTATGCCACGAGCAGTCACCTAATAACTGCACTTAATGTAAACACTACGCACCCTGACATGAGCTAAGACAAATAATATCAAAAAGTATGAAAGGGGATAGAGTGAGAAGGGGAGGGGCGAGGCAGGGGTTAAATGATAAACAAAGTGTGCTGTGTACATGGAGTCACTCCCGTTCCATAGGCTGGCTTTCCGCTCTGTTGGGTTGTTTTTTCTGCTGAGCAGAAGCTTTCTAACTGAATCTGATCCTGTTATCATGGGATGGGGCAGGGACCAGAAGTGTCGCCCACATCCTGATTTGTCCTGATCAGTGAGCTGGTCAGGGCAATTGCTGGATGTGAATGACGACCATTTATTTTAGTAATAAGAAAAAGGGGAAATGCAAAAGAAGAGCTCAGAGAGAAAAGGTACTTTGAAGAAAGAGAGAAGACATGTCCTACAAGCAGAGTGGACCACTTCAAGTCAAGAGAGTAGCGGCATAAAGTTGACTGCTCCCCCATTTGATGGCTTCTTCGATGGTTGATGCAGGTGGGGCCCCTGGATCTCACACTGGGAGATTGACATCAGGGGCCAGGTTCAGTGTGTTCTTGTATCAGAAGATTGGTACCTGGTGCTGGGCCCAGCTTGCTCCTGTGTTGGGCTTGGGTGCTGCTATTCTGTACCTGTGATTAGTAAGTCTCCTCAATGGGCAGGTCACGCCCAGCTACTCCAGCCACATTGTCACCCTAACCTCCTCCTCCCATCCTGTGTATTGATTCTCATTTCTGTTTTCCATGCAACCAGGATTCTGTTCTGAAAGTTCTTTCCTATTCCCGTGACATCCATAATTTTACCTATTTTGTTTTCCAGCACGTTAAGTGTTCTGTTTCACCATTTGGTTCCTTGATCCATTTTGATTTTGGTTTAGCACATGGGAGAGATATGAGATTAGACTTAGTCTTCTGCATGTGCATAACCAGTTTTCCCAACATCACTTATTAAAGAGGCCATCGTTTGTCCCATGTTTTTTCCCCTTTGTCAAAGACCATATAGTTGTATGTACATGAGGTTTTTTCTACATCCTATATCCTGTTCCACAGATTCTCACATCTAATAGTATGCCTGTGGCATACTGTTTTATCACTGTAGCTTTGTAATATAACTTCAAGTCTGGGATTGTGATGCCTCCTGCTTTTTTCTTGTTGCCCAGGATTGCTTTTGCTACTCTGGATCTCCTCTGGTCCCATCCAATTTTAGGGTTATTCTTTCCAGTTCAGTGGAAAATGCTAATGGGTTATATGAATGCATCCAGGCACCGCATCTCAGATAAAAATACAGAAGAAGTTTTGCATTTCAAGACTTTCTTGTTTCCCTCTGTAACTATCTTCCTTATTCCCCTGCACTGCCCCTCTCACAGCCCAAGCATTGCCTTGCAGGATCCTCCACTAGATCAACTAGTTTACAGTCCATAATCTCCATCTCCTACAAAATCTCGAGACCTGGGCAAAGTGTACACAAATTTCCTGCCAGAGTGTAAGGCATGGCTCTAGTCCAACTGCCAGTGGGGTCCATGTTCCCAACTGAAACCTAAGCCTGGCCTTTACTGTCTGAATTTCTTTTGGCATTCGGTATTCTGAGTTCTGACCAGTACCACACATGAAGTTCTGCTTGCAGGATTCTAGGACCTCTTTATCCTGCATCTCCAGATCTATCCAAAGTCTTCCCGTGAACCACTTAGAAAAGCTCGTAAACCACATAGTCAGGTACAGTCAGAGCAGTGACCCCACCCTTGATATAAAATCTGTCATAGTCACTTCCCTCATTACTGCAACATGGCACCCAGTACCCACAACCTAAAGGAGAAGTTTATTTTGTCTCATAGCTCAGTCCATGATCAGCTGGCCCCAAGGCAGAGCTAGCATGGTGGACGGGTCTGAACGGAGGAAAGCTGCCATCCTAAGGCATCCAGGAAGCAGAGAGGGAAAGCAAGAGGGGAGGGAGACAGACCCTTCCAGGTCGCGTCCCCAGTGACCCATCTCTTCTGACCAGGCCCTTCCTTCTGACAGCACATTAGCTGATGAGTACAGCACCCCATGATCCAATCACCTCCCAAAACCCAAACCTCTGAACACATGGGGCTTTGAGGTGGGGCAGCAAAGCCACAGTACCCCTTCTGACCCATCTCCATTCACCCTGCAGGGTAACCCCATTTTAAGTTCTGTCCAAAATTAATTGTTTCCCAATAAAAGAAAAGAACCAAATAAAATGCTAGCATACAGACATTCGTCATTTAACTACCAAGTTGCATTCCTGCAACCAGGTCATTAATTGAATTGGCTGCTAAATGAAAACCATATAGAGTGTGTACATTACAATATTCATAACAAGGACATGGTCAAAGAAAACTCCAACTGGGCTTTGATTTTGCATGACTCTTACATGCAGCAATATAATGTACAACATAGCATAAAACTGCTGTACTGTACTGCACAAGGCAATCAGCAAAAATTATAGTAGTATACAAACCAGGTGTACCATACAACAGGCACTGAAGCCCTCTACACAAGATGTACAGAACTGTACAGGAAAAAGATGGGCCACATGTCCTAACAGCATGCCTTGGTCACAAGTCCGAACAGTTGTTAAACAGGTAGATCATTAAATGAGGAATATTTGTATGTATTTTACATGACTGAATGCTTCCACTAGTTTGAAGATTTATGCACAGTTTTGCACACATCTGTACTTTTTTTTCCATTGCTTAATTTTCTTCCATCTATCAAGAACAACTAGGTTTTGATTTTGTTCGTTAGTGGATTTGTTTGTTACATTCACCTATTGGTGGACACATAGATTTCTCCAATTAGGTGACATTTCTGAGACAAGTTTCTAGAAATCTTTTTGTTTCTTGTTTGTGAATTTGTGACTCACTGTGGTTCTCAGTGAGGGCAGACTGTAGAATCAGTTTCCAGCTCTGCTCTTTACCATATGTATGATCTTGGGCCAGTCGCCTAACCTCTCTGTGTTTCGAATTGCTTCAGATGTAACATGGAGGTCATATCATCTACCAAAGTTGAGAGGGGTGTTAAATGAATAAATATCAAAGCAATGGAAAAGTGCCTTTGTATATAAGTGTTCAGTAAATATAAGCAATGGTGATTCATCTTCAAGTCCCAAGTGAGCAAAAGGCACCATAAATGAGGACATCAGCAAATCAAGGCAGCAGAGCCTGGAGTCAGAGGGGACATTGTTTCTGAGAAGACTGGGGGTGTCGTACACCCAACCTTGCTAGAGATGAAGGAGGCATAGCAAAGGAGCCTAACTGTGTGAGGTACTAATATTAAAGGTATCTCATGGCATGGCCATAATTGGAGCAGACCAGTTCTTTCTACCATGGGGCTCACACCACCTCCAGCCCTTGCCTGAAATTCTTGGAATCCTTGCTGCACTGTCAGATGGCAGGCATCCTCCATTTCACTACTTCCTATGCTGGTACCCAGTTCCTTGTTTTTCTTCCTGTGTGAGAGTAGATTCAGGAAGTGAGGGATGGGGAGTGGGACATAAAAGCCATGGTTTCCACCACTCCTGAGCACAGAGAGACAGCGGTTAACATGAGCAACCCCAAGGAATCCAAGGCTCAGCAGCTGGGCCCCCTGGGTGAGGTTGGACTGGGACTCTGGGAGTTTGGGGAGAGCGGGTAGAAGGAGGTCAGCTCGGTCTCAGCCTGTCCAGGCACTGATGGGTGCTCCTCCCATTCAGATGAGGAAGAGCTGATACCCGGTGGCACCAGATATTTCATAAAAGGCTCTGGATTCCAACCAACTTATGGCCCCAAGAACATTGCAGGTAGATCAGGGTTCAGGGTGGGCAGGGGTGGGTCCTCACAAATTCCTATCCTGAGGAGGTGGAGAATGGGAATCTGATCTTCTGGGTGCTAGGGAGTGAGCATGGGGTCTCTACTCATGGTCTTGGGAGGATAAGACTGAGAGAATGTGTCCTGAGATTTGGGCTGATACAGACTTGGTCTGGACTCATCGGCACTGCGGAGTGGACAGTGGGGGCTGGACATGAGCCCTGGGGAAGTGAAGGCAGAAGGTCTGAACACCCAGGTTGTGGAGCAGTCAAGGCTGGGCATCTAGATTTCTGGGCCTCATGGATGAAGAGGCTGAGGATCTGGATACTTGGGTCCTAGGGAGGAGTCTGAGAACTGGACTCCTTGGTCCTGGACAGGTGGACACGGAGGGTCTAGGACTCAGTGGCCTAGGGAGAAAGGAGCTGTGGGAGAGACACTGACATGCTGGATCTCCCCCACCCTGTCCTTCTCCCACAGGGAGCCTGGGCCATGGTTCGATAGCCCTGGCGCTGAAGCTGCTCTTCCTCCTTTTCTTCTCTGCAGTTCTGGTGGCTGTCCTTGTGAAAGGTTAGGAAAGCCTTCCGGTGGGATTCCTTCAGCTGGGCAACCAGGTCCATGAAAGAGGCAGGGCTGGAGCTAGCATGGGATCCTTCGGAGTTCTCAAGGCTCCTCTGGCCTCTGCTGCTGGGGAGGGGAGGGAGGAGGAGCAGGGAGGCCCTGGTTCACTTACCCTTGCATTCAGCCTTCTCTGAGGTCAGGTTTCTTCTTCAGATGGTATTGAACAAAACAGTGATTGTCAGATGTGATGTCCTTAGGACCCAGTACAAGCCAGGACATACCATGAGTATTTAATAATTGCAGCTTCTGTGTTGTTGTTTTTTTTTTTTTAACTCAATACAGTCTCCAAGGTCCCCAGCTACCAGGAGCAGAGGCAGGCAAAACAAAAGATCAATAAAGAAATGATGCAACTAAAGACTGAAATAGGTGAGTGACTGGACAGTAGGGTCCCTAGGGCCTCTGCGTCCTGGTCATCCACCCAGTTTGGGTCTCAGATTCCTTCTCTGTGAAACAAGAACACAAGGTAACAGGAAAAAAATAGAACTTTGTATTCTCAAGGGGCTATGCGTACAGTAGGCACTCCATCTCCTGCCCCCTGTTCTGAGCTCAGACTACCACTCCCATTTAGGGGAAATGGGGCCATTACTCCTGGGTTTCCCAAGGGTAAAGAAGGGGCCCAGGAAGCAGAGAGGAAAATGGTCCCTACGGAGTATAGTACCGAGGGAGATTCTAAGTCTCAGGGACTCAAAGACTAGGCAGACAGGGACATGTCAATCAAACATGGGTCCACCTCTCCCAACAGGCCACCTGTGCCGTCCTTGCTCCTGGGACTGGACATTCTTCCAGAGAAACTGTTACTTCTTCTCCAACTCCAAGCTGAACTGGAGCGCCTCTGTCACTGCCTGCCAGAAAATGGGAGCCCAGTTGGTGGTCATCAAAGATCCTGAGGAGCAGGTACCTTGGAGAGTCCTCCTCCTGCTCTGGGTCATGGATTTAACTGCCGATCAAGTGAGGAGGAGATGATTAGTCAGGTGAGGTTGTGAGATGAGAGGCTGCTGACTCCACTTGGAAAGGAAGGATACAATGGATACGAACATGAGACTTCCAAGAAGGCATACACAAGACCTCAATGTGAGTGTGGGCTTTGAGGGACACCTATCATATAAGTGATCCCAGTTGGTATGTGGGTCAGAGTTTAACAACTAACTTTCTTTTTTCATAAAGAACTTTCTTCTTTATGTGTACTGTTTGCCAGTTTCCTGTTGTAAAGATTCCCACTGTGGCTAACTTCAAGCTACCAGTGGGATGTCATTCAATACAGAGCTGAAAAGAGATGATTTACATAATTGCCAGTCCCAACTTGGTATGATCCACCGCCAACAGGTTCAGTCCAGCAAATCTGTGTAGACAGAGGCCAAAGAAAAGTGACTCACACATGTCACTGGTTACCCAAAACAAAGTCTGTCTGCCACAAGTGTGCAGAGTAGATGTGAAAATATCAAGTTTCTGAGAGTATAAGGATAAACATAAAGATAAGTTTAAGTTCATGAAGATAAGTTTATAAAGATAAGCAGGTATATACTCAAGTGTATGTGATGAGAGAATCACAATGCACTCCGTGTGCAATTCAGCACACACCTGCCAGTGTCATACAGATGTGAAAAGGACTCAGAACTCCTGGGTCCATGAGGGAGTTCAGGACCTAGTGTGATAGAAGGCTGATGGTCAAACCACAAACAGAGTTTCCTCCCAAAAGGTTGGGGAGATACTACGTGAAAATTTGGGGGCAGAACCATCTTCTGACTACTCCTCTTTGTCTCCAGAACTTTCTGCAGCTGAGTTCTAAGAATAGAGGCCCCACCTGGATGGGACTCTCAGACCTGAAAAAGGAAGGCATATGGAAATGGTTGGATGGTTCTCATCTGTGGTACAGGTAAACCAGGGGACAAGGGGACATGCTGTGTCCATGGGTTAGGGCTCTGGAACTGAGGCTTAGTTACACCTTGGGTTCCTCGCCAGGGAGTGCCCTGGTCCCCAGCCATTGGAGTCTGTGATGTTTATTGACTTGAAGAAGATGGTCTTCCTACTCAAATACTGATAAAGCAGCAGATTCCTAAAATTCCACCATCAGAGCTCCATGGGGAGCCCCTAGCCTGGTGATCAACTGAAAATATAGGCAGGTGGACAGAAAATCTGAGGCATAGTAATCCCAAATGTCAGGGGGAAATTCTCACATAAAGGGTAGCTTTTGTGCTCACATTTCCCAGGAGAGAGAGTATCTATCGCATCACAAGAAATCACATGGGGAAAGGCCAGGCATGGTCAGGAAGTAGAGGCTGGTGAAACTGTGGACAAGAGCCTTCCATGTAGTGTCCATGAGGAGGAATCTCTGAGACATGTGAGGCTTAGTTTAATGATATTTAAAACACAGTCAGGTCTGGATAGTTGTGCTATCCCAGGTGGTCTGGTACTTGGTCCTTGGCAGGTATACAGTGCCCTAGAGTGCAGATGTCCAACAAATGTCCAGCACAAGAGCAAGGGTCAGCAGCCAAGGGCCCATTACTTATGCTTATCATTGGGTGCCCAAAACTGAATATGTCCACCCTATGCCTCAGGATGGATGTGAAAAGATCAAGTTTCCAGGAGCTTGAAATGCAGTTCGCATGGCGGGAGAATCTAGGACACAGAAGCACATTCTCGTGAGTTTTCCAGGTTGTTGAAGTACTGGCTGCCAGGGGAGCCCAACAATGAGGGGCAGGAACACTGTGCAGAATTTAGAGGTGATGGCTGGAATGATGACAACTGTGAACTCGAGAAATTCTGGATCTGCAAGAAACTGGCAGCCTCCTGCTCCAACATGTGAAGTCCAGTCTCTCTCTTCAGCCCCTGCAGCTCAAATGTCCCCACCAGGTGAAAGAACTTTACCCACATGTATGTGAGTTCCTTTTCCCTCTCTGAGAGCATCAAGCTCTTAACAATAGCTCTAGGACTCTTCTCTTTCATGCTCCTCGCCCCCTGAGGAGCTGAGTTGCTGCTATCCTTCCAGCCTTCCTCCCACCTGGCTTTGAGGTCATGCTTCTAGTCCAGCTTTGATATTGGTGGGCGCATTCAGGAGCTGGGCATGTTCCATTTATCTCTCCTATCTTCTTTGCTGAGGTCAGAGGGTTTGCATGACCACATCCCTGAGACTTTGTTCCCTTTCATCAACTGATCTTGCAACCATCTCCCCTAGAACCCTTTGCTTGGGGACCTTCTCTAGTTATGGCTCCTCCTACAGACCGGAAACAATAGAAGACTGATTCCCCTTGCCAATCATAACTCTGGGAAGTTGGTGTATAAACATCCTATCTCCTTTTTTAGTGAACCAACTTCTGGACCTGAGGTGGGCCTCCCAGATCTCTGTTCAAGAAAGGACATGTTGGCCCCACTGCTGTGAGTTCTATTGGAGGCAGGTAGAACCTGTGAATCATTCCCCATCTATACTCTGCACAGGAAGTTGCATCTCCAAAGTCAGGGTGCTTCCTAGAGGAGCTCAAGTGGGATGAGATGCAGGATGATAAAGATCTGGATATGTTGGGTCAACATGGGGCTCTACTGACCACTCCAGAGCTCCCAGTGTGGTCACTGATGCCTGCTGTCACACCCTCTCCACCTGGCTTAGACAAGCCCATTGCTGCTACTACTTAACAAGCCCATGGATGTTTGATGTTTGTCTGGTTTCTTAGGCTATAACAGTGTCTTTTGCTACTCTTAATGAGCCCCTCTGACCACACTTGAACTTATGGTAGGGAGGTGACTTGAGTGGAGGCTGGGACATCTCAGGATAGGATTGGCTACTAGAAAGACCTAATAAAAGGTTGAAATCTTCTATCCCATCTACCAATTTCCAGGGGGGATGGCAGTTGGAGAGAGCTCTGCAAAACTCTTTTGCGATGAGATTCAATGACTTCCCAGGTTGTTAAACACAGGAAGTTCCAGAGGGTGGCACACCTGAGCAGGGCGTGGAAGCACTGTGAAACTTTGCCACTCTTTTTCTATTCTTTGTATTTTTTCCATTTGGGTGTTTCTGAGTTATATCCTTTACAATAAACCAGTCAATATAAATGAAGTGCTTTTGTCCATTCTGTGGCTCACTTAGAAAATTATCAAATCCAAGGAGAAATTGTTCAAGCCTCCAACTTGTGGTTAGTCTGGAAGGAATGTGAGTCTTGGGCTGCCCTTTGCTGGCATCTGAAGTATGACAGAGTTGTAGAACTGGGTCCCCCAGCTTATAGAATGTGATGCTAACTTCAGGTGGTTCGTGTCAGAATTGGAGGTTGCTTCATGTAAAAAAAAGTACCTCAAGTTTCCTGTATCTTCTATCTCTATTAAACCTAACAGAATTCTTCCAGAGACAATTTGCAAGCTAAATTCCATCTCATCATCAACATCAGGGAGGTTTTTGTTTCAGTGGTTTTCTCTCTCATTTTCTTCTTTATAGTTTCATTGATTCTGCTCTTACCTTCTTTTTTTCTTCAGATTTCCTTTTGTTGGTTTTGTTCTTGTTCTCATTTCTTGAGGAAGGAACTTCGATCGCTGATTTTTCAGTCTTTCTTCTGTCAACCCATAAAGGAAGAACAATTTTAAGGTTGAGATTTCTTTGAAATTCTAGAATTCTGCAATTCTTCATTACCTAAAGTAGAGCAAAGGTTTCCATGATATTAGCAAGGAAGGTTGACTGTTTTTAAGAGACAGGGTGTCACTCCAGGTAGTTCAGGCTGGACTTGAACTTGCTGTTGTTGCCCACCTCAGCCTCTAAGTTCTGGGATCACAGACAGAAAAGAGTTTGAAGAAGAAATCAATAATAAGGGGCTGGGGATTTAGCTCAGCGGCATAAGCGCCTGCCTTGCAAGCAGGCAGTCGTGAGTTCAATCCTTGACACCAATAAAAACGAAAAGGACAAAAAAAAAGAAATCAATAATTTAAAAAGTGGGTTGGTCATGTCCAACTTACTTTCCTTATAAAGTGGGATCAGGAGACAGAATGGTAGACACATAACTACACCATTTATGCTATGGTTCTTTAAATTTTTCTCTTTTTAAGGATTAAGGCAAGGAGAACTTTAATATCAGCCTCACTGAAAGTTAGCTTGTTTGGAAAATTTAGCTATTGTTTCCCTGATCCCAATGTCTTAGAAGATCAGGTAAACATCTTAGCTGCAGGTTTGTGGGGAAATAGCATGAGCAACCCCACTTTGCTTTGTAGCCTAGTTGCTTCAAGCCAAGTAGAAGAGCATTTCTAGTGCAATGAATTTCCCTCTCAGCACTGCTTTAGCTGCATTCTACATATATATATATACATGTTTCTTTTACATTTTAATTGACTTACAGGTATTTTTCTGTCCCTTGAGTCTTTTTCTCTGAATATTAGGTTATTTCATTATGGAGGACTGCTTAATATCTAGCATTAAACCACCTCACTGGACTATTACAGTAGTCTTGATGTAGAATGTCTCACAAAGGTTCATCTGTTAAAAGCTTTGTGCTGCTGGAAGGTGTTAGAGCCCTTGCAATGTGTTGCCTAGTGACAGGACCCCAGATAATTGGGGATATGCCCTAGAAGTAGACAGTAGAACCAGACCTTCCCTTTCTTCTCTTTCTTCCTTCCTGGCCATGAAGTGAGTAGTTCTATTCTACTATGTACTCTCTGTGGTCACCAGGTGCCAACCCACCAGGGGCCCAAAAAGTAACAGGTGCATCTGATCATTGGGACCTCCACCACTCCAAAGAAAAACAAATGCTTCTTCCTTATCTCAAGTGTTCGTTAGAGTGACAGAGAGCTCACTACCACAATTCTGTTTTGATAAGAGATTATACTCTATGGCTTATATTTATTTAGATGTAGCACAGATTATGTTATGTGCCTGAACATGGTCTATGCTGGTGAATGCTGAGCACTTGAGAAAATTGTGTATTCTACAGTTGAGTTGAATATATGTGTGTGTGTGTGTGTGTGTGTGTGTGTGTGTGTGTGTGCCCGCGCGCGCGTGCGCATGGGAGAGAGGGAGGGAGGGAGGGAGAGAGAGAGAGAGAGAGAGAGAGAGAGAGAGAGAGATTCTATATAGTTCTCTCTATATAAAATACACACATGTAATTCATCTCCTGGGGAGGTATTTCTTCTACTCCTTAAAAGTCTTTATCATCACCAAAGTTGAAATTGTTGTCATGTGCCCAAGAGTTAATAAGACCTGAAACTGAGGCCCAGTGTGATACATTAATCTGCTAATTAGGTCACAGCTGAATAGGCTATTCAGAGATGGAATACATTTGGAGGAATCAGGTCACTGGGGTCATGGCTTTGAAGGGTATGCCTCATTTCTGGCCCTTTCCTCTCTGATTCTCTTGTTCTCTCTGCTGTTCTGACTTGAGCATCATGAGGTAAACAATTTCCCTCCACCACGTCCTGCCACTGTGATGTTTCTATCTTCCCTCAGGCCAAAAAGCAGTGAAGTCAGGTAGCTACATTCTAACACCTCCTAACTGTGAGCCTTCCTTTGTACAGTTACCCTCAGTATTTTGTCACAGTGATGATAAATTGATGAACACACTGTCAATGGGTGAGTGGACAGTACTAAAGCATGATTAATGAGTATATTTCATAAGCTTTTTCCTTTTGCAAAGTATCTATCTTTTTAGATCTCTTGCCTTATAAAAGTATTATTTTAATTGTGGTCATTGTAATCAGAGTTTTCAAGGAAAACTATTTAATAGAGGACACTTCATTTATAGTATTATTTTATGAGTCAAATACAGAAAAGTGCAAGAAATCTATCTAAAACTAAAGATCTAGATAGTTCAGCTGAGGGCCTGGATCCCTCAGCAATGTCCTGCACGAGTTCAGCTGAAAACCTAGAGCCCATAACAATGCCTCCCATGAGCCCAACAATGACTCATTCAAGTCTGTTTCATGGATCTGCCCTGGGAAGGCCCAAGGGTCAGTGGTGGAAGCCATAATGTCTGTGCCAGAGAGATGAAAGATCTGTGCCAGAATGCTGCAGGTTCTGCACTGGAGCCAAGAAGTGACACTCAAAATAAGGACCACGGCTCCCCCTCAAAATACCACAGCCATCCTCAGTGACAGTGAGGTTCTGAGCTCCTCCAACAATGAGAACACCAAGTTCATGTCAAGAAACCAGCATGACAAACTTCTGAAGATTGAACAGCAATGCTCAAAGTGAGGACCAGAGCTCCCCGAAAGTGAATCACAGCCATTCTTAGCAACAGAAGGTACTGAACTTCTCTGATGATGAGTACAGCCAAGTTCATAGGGAAGAAGCCCCACAAGCTCCTCCAGGAGAACTCACACCAATAGGAGAACAATAGCACCAAACAACAACACTTTGGAGAAACCACAACCCTACTCTCTTTTTCTACGTTTCTCCTTTTTATGCTGATAAAAGTCCTCAGGTGGATCATCTACACTCAGCACCACGCTGATTCATTTCAGCGGTTGTTTAAATTGATCTTCAGTTTTCAATCCATCACAGAGGATGTGACTGAAACTCTTCTTCCAAAAGATGCCAAACATCCGGTCAACCTTGAAGGATATGCCAGTAAACATGTGACCTGTCATCCTCCGAAGCATAGGAGTCATCAAAACAAGGCAAGTCAGAGAAAGTGCCAGGGCCAAGCAGAGGCTGAGGAGATGTGACATCCACACATAATGTATGAGACTCGGAGACAGAATCAAGACCCAAAGAAAAATAGCAAAATCCAAATAAATCATGGAAGTTCCTCTGTGCATTTGTCATAAATAAGTTGTCAACATGATGTATGTCCCATCAGGCACACATGTCATTATGTGAAGGTGGCAGTAAGGTAAGCTGAGAAAGGAATATGACAAGTCTCCATATTATCTTGCAAAATTGCCACCCTTGGAAAAATAATCTAAAATATTTCTGTAAATAATAAAAATTTTTAAAATGTGAAATTTTTTCATGATTGTGTCATAATGCATACATGTATTCTGGATTATTAAAATGATATATAACAGATAAAAATGCAAAAGATCTTTTTTTTAATATGCTCAAAAAGCCCATTCATATTTCCCAGGATCTATGATTTCTAGATATCTTTGGAGGAGCATAATTCAATCCATAACAGCAATTTAGGGATAATTTCCTTTGCTTTTCTGAAAACTTTTGGTCAAAATTCTTGACTTTTTTGCTGTTTTTTTAAATTTTATTTTTATTAGTACATGTTTGCAATCATAATAACATTCACCATAGGGTGATTAATTCTTTTTTTACTCCTTTCTCTACCCTCCCTCTCTCCTCTACTTCCTGATACCCTCCGTTTTTCTTTCAAATCTATTTTATTTTAAAGGGAAAATAAACCAAAATTTCAAAACACAATAGTTAGGGGTAACAATGGTATATACATTTCATATTGTATATATACATATACTATCCAATGTTTACACATGTGTGTCTGATTTATTTCATTTATGATTATGCTCTCAGGTTGCACCCATTTACTTATAAAATCCTCAAGCTTATCCATCTTTATGGCTGAGTAGTGCTCCATTATATAAAAATACCACATATTTTTAATCCATTCCTCAGTCTATGAGCCTTTCAATTGTTTTCCAAAATGGAGATATTACAAATTGTGCTGCTATGAACACAGGTGCACATATATTGCTGTGGTATGATGTTTTTTAATTCTTCTAGGAAGATACCCAGAAGAGAAATAGGTGGGTAAAATGGGACCTCCAATTCTAGTTTTTTAAGGAATCACCACACTGTTTTCCACAGTGGCTTCATCAGTCTGCACTCCCACCAACAGTGGAGAGGATTTCTTTTTCCCTCCAGCCCCTCCAGCACTTGTTACTGGTTGATATCTTGATGACAGCCACTCTTTCCAGAGTGAGCTAGAATCTCAGTGTTGTTTTAATTTGCATCTCTTGAGTGATCAGTGAGGCTGAACTTTTTTTCATGTATTTGCCATTTGTATTTCTTCTTCTGAGAAGTGTGTATACATCTCAGATGCCCATTTTCGCATTGAGCCTTTGAATCTGAGATTCCCTTCCCTTTTGCATAAGATCTATCTCCCGTTTCCTGAATT